TCCTCCTCACCACCTGCTCCACTGTCCAGGTCCGGTTCAGGTCCCTGCTGCCTGCTGTCCTCCCCGCTGGGCCCACTGGGCCCGGTCCGGTCCGGCGGGGAGTCCTGGCCCAGAGCAGAGTCTGTAGGGAAGCTCCTCTCCTCCTCCTCCTCCTCCTCCTCTTCTTCATCGATGAAGCCATGCTCGTTTGTATGGTCCTTTCTGAGTCCTCCCTCAGACAGAGCCGGACTGGAGGGTTCTGAGGGTTTCTCCAGGTCCAGCTCAACCCGTCCAGGTTCTGCCGGGTCCAGAGGAAAAGCTCCCTCCTCCTCCTCCTGCTCTTCCTCCTCCTGCTCCTCCTCCACACAGGGCAGAGGGTGGGGGTCACAGGGGGGCTCGGGGTCCAGGCCCAGCTCCTCCTGCTCCTCACACTGCCTCTCCAGCTCCAGGAACAGCTCGTCTGACTCGGCGCTCCTGGAGCTGGGGCACGGCGAGGCCCCGGCGGCGCCGCCGAACCCGGTGGGAGGAGTCTGGAGGGGCCAGTGGCCCGGGGCCCCTGGCAGACCCCATTTCTCCGCCTCCAGAGTCTCCTTGTCCCAGGTCCCACCCAGCAGCTCCCTGTTCTCCAGCCTCAGGACGGCCTCCCACTCCCTCTCCTCCCTCCGGGCCCTCTCCTCCTCGGCCACGTCCCTCTCTCCCCTCCGGGCCTCCTGGTTCTCCTCCTGCTCCTCCTCCTCCTCCTCCTCCTGCTCTTCCTCCTGCTCCTCCTCCTGCTCCTCCTCCTGCTCCCCCAGCTCCTCCAGGATCCGGCGCTCGTCCTCCTCGAAGCGGAGCTCGGAGGCTGTGCGCTCCCTGAGCTCCCCTCCCGGGGCGCCCCACCCCAGCAGCCCCCCCTCCGCCCCCTCCTGACTGACGCAGGGGGACAGGGGCAGGCCGCCGTACACGAAGCCCCCCCCCTCCTCCTCCTCCTCCCCCTTCAGGAAGGGGGACGGGGGGTCCAGCAGGTACAGCGACTCCTCGTCCGTGCTGTGCTCCTCCCCCAAAAAGGGAGGCAGGGGGGGCAGCGCGGGGAAGTTGTGCCTCAGGCCCCGGGGGGGGCGCTTCCCGGGGGCCGCGCTGCGGGGCCAGGTGCGCGCCTTGGTGGGGGGGCAGAAGACGGGCGTGGGGGGGATGAGCGGGGCGCTGTCCCCCTGGTCCGGCTCAAAAAGCGGGGAGTCCCTCTCCGAGTCGGAGGCCCTGACGGCCTCCTCAGGGGGGGGGGCCGGCGGCGGCTTTGGAGGAGCCGGCAGCCCGTGGGTGCCCCTCCCTCCCGCCCCCCCCCGCCGCAGGGCTTGGCTGGGGGGGGCTGAGCCTGCCCCCCCCAGGCCGGGGGGGCGCAGGTCTGCCCCCTCCGGACGGCCGGAACAGCCTGCTTCTGCCTGCTGATTGGCTGTGGGGGGGTCAGCACGGGCGGGGTGGGCGCCGTGGGGGTGTGGGGGGTGGAGGACAGCGGGGAGGGGGTGTACGGCGTGGAGCAGGCGGGGGGGGCCGGGGGGGGGCTCCCCGCCCCGGACAGGCGCCTCTCGGCCGACGACAGCTCCAGCCTCTCGGCGAACTCGGGGAAGCTGGGCGGCATGAAGGCCTTCCAGGAGCGCCGGTTGGGGTTGTCCCTGCGGTCCCCCCCCTGGTGGCGCCGCTTAGCCCCCCCCTCCAGTCCGGGGCCGACCAGCCCCACCGGCGGGGGCAGCACCTGGGGGTCGCCGGTCAGCTTCAGGGCGTCGAAGATCACCCTCTCGTCCAGCTTCTTCCCCCCGCCGGCGTGTTCCGGCGCCCGGGAGACGAAGATGGCGCCCAGGTCGGCCCCGATGGTGCCGTTGCTGGAGATGGTGCTGCCCTCGCCCCCCCCGGAGCCCAGCGTGCCCCGGGGGGGCGGGCCGGGCCGGGCGCCCTGGTCGATCTGCTCGTTGATGCGCATGGTGTCGTAGATGGAGCGCTGGGGGACGTAGCAGTCCTCGATGTAGGCCTCGTCCTCGTCCGCCTTCCCCAGGCAGCGGGGGCTCTGCCTCAGGCAGTCGGGGCGGCTCAGGGGCTTCCCCATCCTGCCCCCCCCCACCCACGCCCCCGCGCTCCAAATCAGTCCAAATCAGCCAAAAAAACAAACACGCTCCCGGACGATCAGAAGTCCGTGGTGGCCTCAGTCCGACGTCCGCAGAGTCTGGCGGTCCGTGTGGCGGCGTTCAGCGAATCCTCCGGGTTTCACATCCTCCGGAGGCTCGGCGGGGGGGGGGGCTCCCGCCCGGAGCCTCTCCGTGGTCTGTCTGAGACGCCGTGTGGCGTCGGCGGGGGGGTGAGAGAGGCGGCCCTCCCCTCCCGGACCATATTAATCACCAGCGCTGCTTATTTTAGCGGCCAGAGGAAGAGGAGCCGTCGCCCCCCTCGTCCGAGGGGGCCAGAGTCCGAGCAGCAGAGGTGGAACATCCCTTTGTGGCGCGGGGCGCTTTCCTCATCCTCGCCTCTTCACTCTTGTTTTCCTCCTCTGGAACTCCTGCATCCTTCCTTCCGGCCTTTTCTGGCCTCCTTTCTTTGCCGGGGCACAACAGGAAAAAGGCAGCCAGGGCTTTGGACCGGCTTCAGCGAGTCGGAGGCAGGCAGGCAGGCAAGTGTGAAAGTCTCCTTTTAAGGTGAGAAAAAACCCACTCGGTTATGTAAAAGAAGAGGCTGCGTGGGGTGAAACCGACACAGAAGTCTGTTCTCTCCTCTTAAGAAATGTTTCCTTCGAAAAAAAACAAAAAAAAAAGAAGTGACAACACGCGTCCAGGAAGTGGAAGGCAGAAAGGCAGAAAAGCCACTCTGTGGTCCCTCACATCCCACTTTGAGGAGCAGCTCCCGGCAGAACAAAGGCGGCTCCTGGCTCCTCTCCTGCTCTCTGTCTCTCATCCACAGCTCCGGGGCAAGAGGAGGAACAGCGGATCGAAAGCAGGTTGGCTCTCGGAGGGGGTGAGGCAGGCGTAAAGGAGGGCATCGGTGGGGGGGTGGGGGGGGCGGCGAGCAGCCAGTGGAGGGGCTGCATCCAGAGGGCAGAGTCCCAGACGGCCCCTGTGGCTCCAGCCCGGCTCTGGGCTTTCTCTGGGTTTCTCCCAGGAC